CCTCACACCCTCTGTCTGACTCCCCACACACACACATACATACACACACACACACACACACACACACACACACACACACACACACACACACACACACACACAGGCAGAGGGAGGTCTCCTGTTCAGGTATGATGATGACCCCTTCTTGCTTTTTTCGGTCTCTTTTCTCTCTTCCCTCTTTTTTTTGCTGGCTCCTCCTCACTCAGGGGCTTTTGTTACACCCCCTCTTCTTCCTCCTCCTTCTCCTCTCCTTTTCCACCCCACCTCCCTCCCTATCCTCTCACTCTCTCTCCCCCTCTCCCTCACTCTCTCTGTCTGTTTGCCTCTGCCGCTGAATGGAAATACGCACAGATGCGTAAAGGTTCGATCAAACTCCACATATCCATCGGTGGCAGCGGCAGCATCAGCCACCCCCTTCTTTGGACGGGAAGACTGATCAAGGGACAAAAAAAACTTGTATTTTGGACAGTTGTTGAGCCCCCGAGCTATAGCACAAGCCTGGAGCCGGAGCCCACCTGTTTGAAGCCGGATCCTGTTGGAGCGGATCAGCCGGCGTGGCTCAGGAGCTCCAGCAACCCGGCGTAGGACGCATGGAGCGCGGGTGCAGAGGCGTAGGAGGACACGGTGTGTCCCGGCTTGAATGCATGGATTCTCACTTCTTCCTCTTATTCTTATGTTTTTTTTTTTCTCTACATCACGAGCTGCTTTCTGTGACGACCCTTAAATAGAAGCCGGCGTAGAGGTTGTGTGAGGCGGGTGGCGTCTGATATGGTTTATTTGCGGTAGTTGTTATGTTTCTGCCACGATTTTTTCCTGTTTTGTGTGGGGTTTTTTGGTCTCTGTCTCTCCTCGCCTCTATTTTGAGTTTCCAGCTTTGATGCCACTTAGTCTGCCGGAGTCGTACTAATTAGGGGCCTGATTGACAGCTCGGTAATTGGATTTATTTCATATCCGCTCCTTGAAGTTGTGAAGCCTCTTAAGGCACGTCAGGAAGGGGTTATCGGTCTTTATTTCTGTAGGAAACAATAATAAAACAGGTTTGTTCTCTAGACTTTCAGGTATTTTTTTTTTTTTTTTTTTTTTGGGGGGGGGGGCTATTCTATTTTTAATGCTGTCACTTGCCAAATTCTCAGTCATTATCTGAGCCATTCTTAGAGCTCATGAGGCCCAATAACGCAGGATTGAACATGTATTTCAGGAAGAGGAGAGGGATTACTGAATAATGTGTAATGCTAAAATGTCCCAAACATTAAGTCTATTAAGTCTTATGATCTTTAAATTCAGTCTAACTTTATCAATAAATATTCCAGAAACAGCTTCCTCAAGGAAGAGGTTGTCCATGCTGGTTTAATGGAGTTGAAAAAAAAAGTTGTTTTGTTTCATAAAACTCAAGTTCAAACCTCTCTTTGGCCGGTTTGAAAACAGGTTTAATTAAAATGTTTTAATCTGGTTAAAGTTTGCAGCATGAGGATACTATCCAAGAGGACAACAGGTGCACAGAGCTCACTGGTGGAAGAGATGACCCGTTAATTCAATCCTCACAGTTGGATTTACACTTGCATAAAAAGCCTGAGCTCCTCACACGAAGAGAAGAGTTACAACTGCCTGTACATATTAAAATACACTCATTCAGACAGAGGAAACATTTGTTTAAGATAAATCTCACATAGAGCACAAACAGTTTGTGAATCTGAAAGCATTTGGTTTAAAACAAACAAGCTTGGAACATGATCAATATACGATCTATGAGTTTTAAACTGTTTACATTGTATGAAAATGCAAAGTTTACATTTACATCATGGAACACTCTTTGCTGCATGTTTGAAAGCTGTTTTTATCTTTTAGAGTGTGATGAGTGTCTATTTCCTTCTTTTCTTCCTTTTTTCAAGGTCTAAACATCCATGCGGGAACAGGTTTGTGGATTATAGATGCCAACACTTGTTCCACTGTGCTAACAGTGTTTGCTATTGGTGCCCTTGAGAAAGCTGAAAGGAGGGGAAATCATGTAGTATTGGTTGAGCAGTTAAAGAATACATGTTATAGTAGGGAGTGTATATACAGGAGTGAAAAATCAAATGACCTGAGCAGCAAACTAAAAGACTTTCTGTCACTGCAAAATGTACAACTTGGCAGTAAAGAGGTTAACAAGTCAGGATTGTTCAAATTCTTAGGAAATAAAAATAAAGTTCAATCTGATTGTGTCAGTGCTGCACAGTTGGAGAGCCAGCTGCCTGGGAGACAATACTGAGGGGATAAAGAGCACAGATTTGGGCTTTCTGGGTAGATGTCACACATGTTGCCACTCCTTAACTCCAGAAATGTGATCACTCCTCCATGATGAGGTTTAATGGGTTTCTCTCACACACTGTGTGTATGCTGGTCAGTCTGTTGATCAGTATGGACCAGTATGATGCTATATTCCCAGTGTACCCAGTGGACAGGGTTTAGTTTTCTCCATAAGCTGTATGTCTTCCTCTGCAGGTGACTGTGACCTTCGCTTGCTGTTATCCAGTTCTGCAGGCCCCAGAGGGTTTATATAAATGTATTTCCATCTATCATTTGCATGTGTGTGTTTGTGTGTGTGTATATGTATGCCCTTGCTCTTAAAACCCAGTCCTGCCAATGCCCAGTGCGCTGTATGGCTTTTTATTCCTATCTGACTGTACTAATGGTTCATATAGGGATGGAAGCCATGCACGGCGCTGGGAGCACAGCGCACTTGACTGTGGGCTCTGTCACCCCCTCACATACACACATACACCCACACTCACATATGCACAGCTGTATGTACAAGCCCACTCTCAAGAGCTTACATGCTCACAGAAGGCAATAAATGCATGCACACATCCAGGAGAGCGTGAAGCGAAAACCTGTCAACACAGAAATATGGATGCACATGCACTGCGCTCTTAAACATGATTTCATTTATGCGTATGCATGCAATAGGTCTGCTTATGTTTGGTACATGCTTTGCTGAGGACTGATATGGTCCCCTGTTCCCATCGGGCCCCTATACTGCAGCGAGTCAGTCTGAAGCTGTCTGACTGTATCAGCTGACAGACAGCTCTCTGAAGTGAAACACACACATCTGCCACACCATGATCGATACGGATCAAATCAGAACAGAATGAAAATTAAATTGAACTGAAATGAACCAAATTGATTTGGAGCACAGAGGCAGAACTCTTCGCAGGTGAATCACACTGAACCGTTGCAGATTGGAAAAAATAATAATAAAACAGTTAAGGTCTTTTACCCACATCATTCTTATTCATGGTCCCAGTGGGATGAAGAGAGTTTCTCAGCACACACTGCGGGTGCAAAAGCAGTGACAATCCCAGGAAATGGCTCACACGGAGAGAGACGATTACGGTCACATCTAAAGCCAGTGTAGTCTGAAAACCTCTACTTATACATGTGAGGAAACCAACACTAAAAGGATGTGAATTAAAACAAATATGATGTCTGTCAGAAAGAGGACAATGAGATTCTATGATGCTCTAAATTAACTGCTCATTTACAATACCTTAAAAACAGACGAGCTCTACATCAGTGAACAGGTTTGTCACCGTATTAGAGCACAGATTTGGCCATTTAGAACAGAGAAGATTGTAAGAAAACGTCTTTTTAACCCATAAGATTGCGAAACATTGAACTTCTTTATGGTGTGAAACAACATACTAAACATTCATCCACTGTGAGTTAAACATAAAACAAATGGAGACCATGCATCTGTATCATCTGCTTCATATGATATGAAATGGTAGAAGCTGTTTTGAAGTATCCTTCATGACTACTTGTTTTTTAGACCTGGCTTCTGAGACAGTTGAATGGATTTAGTCAGATAATGATCTACACATAAAAATCTTTGCACAATAATATTAAAGTTACATTTTGACAAGACTTCAGTATTTTATAATCTTTAATCCTCAGTCTGGATATTTTTTAATTTTAAAACAACCATGTTGGCATGCAATAAGAAGTAACATGGAGAAGTATGTCAGTGTTAAACTACTCATAGAGGCAGTTTTGTTAACATTTTCTTTTCAGGGAGTGTTGCTCTCTGACCTCTAGCTCTGCACACTTTACTGATTGGCTTGCATCACTGTATACAAAGTTTGCATTACACTGTACGCTACATACCATTTTGAAAACCATACCACAAGATGGCATATTTTTCTTCAACTCAAGCAGCCTCTGAAATCCTTCCATTACAGTTTGTAGTCAACATTGTTCTGACATTAGCTTTAGTTAATAACAATCTTAAAATAATGTGTTATTCTGAACCCAAAGGGGCGAGTGTGGCCTGTCAGGACTTTGGAGAAAGCTGAGTTTATTCTGTGCTCCTGAAATGGTTGTTAGAAAATGAAGAACATGTGGGATCAGTTCTAAATCAGATAAAACATGAACAAAATCTGCTTTGCTCCTTTAATGTGGATCCGGTCACTGGAGTTGTTCAAATTTTGAACTCATTATGTTTGCCTCTGGCTAAATGCTTCTAATAAAAAAATAACCAACCTTATTGTAGCCAGGTGTTTAGCCAACCAGTATCAATGTGTCTTTAATGAAACCCCATGAGAATAGTTATTAGTGTGTCAAAGCTCAAGATTACACTTTTTATTATCAGGGGGATAAGGAGCAGCTGTAACCAATAATTGATTCATTCATATTTACAGTCTATGGCTGTAACACAGAGGTAAATCTTAAGCATTTCTTTTATCAGGTGTACTGGTAAAGCTTCATATACAGCACAACACCGCCTCCCTGTGTCCAACATATGATACTACATCACTCAAAAATGCGTAATTTAAAAAACAAAACAGCTTCTCCGTTAAGATAATCACATATATTAAAAAGATACTTCTTTGAGTTTTTAAAGGTGTGTAGAACCTTTTTTGTTTTTTAAATTCAGGTGTCTTTGACATAGACTGTAGTTGTAAAATGTTTGGTGGAGAAGAAGAAGAAGAGGCGGATGTGACGTCAGAGCCCTGCCTCCAAAACAACCGGGCTGCGTTGTCTCTTATGAAAGCTGCGGAGTGAAATGTTGGATAACTGCTGTTTCCCTGCCCGCTTACAACCCTAAGTGGAAAGCTGAGTGACTTCTGCTCGTGTAGTTTTTACCAAAACACATTTAAAGGAAGTAATTTAAAAAACAGAACGATAGAGGATAGATAGAAAGCCAACATGGCAAAGAGGAAAGAGTGTGAAGTGACACAGACCGATACAAAGAAACTGAAGGTGTTGAAGAACAGCGGAGCCAAAGCAAGAGCGAAGAAGGAAGACACAGGTATGAGAAGTCAGGAATCCACTCATCACTCCGACTGTCCTGCCATTTACCAATAAATGAGTAAAAACAAACGACCCAATCAGATGTAAAGGATGTGTGACGTTTGCAGACAAATGCATGGGAACAGCACACGGCTTGCTGACATTCAAATGGTGTGTTACTTTCATAGACTGTAGATATTGGTGACTTTGTGTCGATCATTTGACGGAAAGGAATGATTTACATGATTCCTGCTAAATACATCCTGTCAGATGAAGGTTAGGTTAGTGATCAGAGCTGGTTGCCAGTGTAAATAAACAGACACATTCCCAATAAGTAGTGTGATTGAAAATACCAATAGACTTTATAAAACACGTGAGAAAATCATTCTTCAAACCTAAAAATGTAAAAACCTAGTAATGTCAACAAATGAGCTTGAAATCAATCATTTGTATAACACAATCTTTTCAAATAACAAGATATAAATATAGCATTGCAATGTGATTCCACTGAGAATAGAGGTAATGTCCTTGTTGTTTGGTTTGTGTTCATAAATATGGCTTTTTTAAGTGTTGTTGCCACCATAAAGAACTTTTAGAGAAACCAGACTGCAGCTGTGGAAGGGTACTGAAGTGGATCTGCCGACGGCCCAGATCCACATCTGTGCCCCACTTCATTAAAAACATGAAACATGTTTGTGAGTGTGGGACAAGGAGACTTGTTTCTGTCTTGTGTGGTTTTTACAACATGCACCAGACTTAAAGATTACAGTTAATGTACATTTTCTTTCATTTACAAACAAATTAAGCCAGGCATCATTTGAGGAGATCATTAACGAGGCTACACGTTACACTAGTGAGTGTTCATCAGCTGGCTGCTCTACCTCTTTGATTCTGTCATCATTTGAGTATTTCTGTGTCTGTCAGGGAACATTTGGCTGAATTGTGCTCTTCTGTCTGTCTGTCTGTCTGTCCTGCCTTTCTAAGCCTTTCTTGATAATGTATTCATAAACAGTGACACCAATTCATTTAAATCTCTCGACATCCTGTTGTCAGAAGCTGTTTTAGCAACACCAGTAAAATATTGTATACTTACATTTTAATTATTTTTGTTTGCTCTTCAAAGAAAGTATAATGCATGCAAACATTTTTTAATTTTTTTTTTAAACCAGGAAGATGAGTTAAGAAAAGAAAAGACCAGAGAAAGGCAAGAATAAAACAGTCAGGATTACAGCAGTCCATTATCAGAGCATGGCGTATACCAATCCAGTATCTTGCAGTTCATGTGCCATTAGTCCTTATAGAGTCATAGATCATCCATTTCTTCTACTTGCCACCTAAACATGTCCCCTCAGTCATTTTTGAGACATTACAAATCTCTCTTATCTGACCATTGTTGCAAAGAAGGGGGTCCATGTCTTGACCATTTCATGGTATTGCCTTTAACTTACTAGCTCAATATCTCAGTCAAATATCTATTATTATTATTATTATTAATCACACAATCATCTAAATTTAACCGCCCATTACCTTTAAATATTACTTCAGGGCTAAAACTATTTAATATAGTGCAGAGACAGATTAGGCGAGATGACAGTGGTATTGTTTGTTTCAGTTGATTATACAACACAGATTTGTTGATGCTTCAGCTGTAAAGGGCTCAAGAAGAAGAAGAATACTGACCACCTAAGAGTATCCTTTAACCAACCCTCCTTGATGTAATCATTACTCCCTTTGTGTCCCTCCAGGTAGTGACATCACAGACAAAGAGGAGAAGCTCAAGAGAAAAGTTCAACCTAAACCTCGTTCCTCCGCAAAAAAAACTGCAGGGAACAACTCATCGTCCACCACATCCTCAACCACCGCCGCTGTCAGAACCAGTAAATACTTCCAGTCACCTGTTAAGAAGGAGGACTCCGACAGTGACGACTTTGACATGGTGACGTCAAGAGCACCTGCATATAAACACAAGAACGCCAAAAAAACAGAGAACAAGGAAGAAGAAGAAGATGAGGAGGAGGACAGTGAGGAGAGCGGGGATGATTGGGAAGAAGTGGAAGGTTTGTGCCGATAAACAGAAAATATTTTATGATTCTGATGACACATTTGAACTCATATTTAAGCCAGTAGGAAGGCGGGTTGGAAAGTAAATTAAAGAGATAATGTGAGTGTGTGTCTGTGTCTCCCAGAGCTGTCTGGGCCGCTGGGTCCAGTTGAACCTCCAGAACCGGTCCTGCCCTCTCAGCCTGTAGAGATAGAGATCGAGACTCCAGAAGTCAGGAAAAGGTGAGTGGACATCTGTGCATATATCTGAAATATACAACATGTGAGAGATGATTTCACAGTGTTATTCATCATCTCTTGGATATCTTGTGAAATACAAATGTTTGCTGGATATATGCAGAATAAAAACATTAATAACCATTCAGCATGTGTTCACAGGGTTATTTTTTAAATAAATGACACTAAACTCTCAAGTAAATACAAATCAAAGATACTTTTAAAGATATTAATTTGAGATAAATTTACATTATTTACAAACTTGTAAATAATAACTAAAGATGCACCGATCAACTTTTTGTCAGTTCAGATCAGATTCTGATGAATATTATGTACCGATATCTATACTCATTCTGATATTTTTATTATCATAACTAGTGTTAGTGTTGTTGTCTGTATAATGTGTAAGGCTACATAAAGCTGTAGTAAACACAGCATGGCATTGCATTGTGCTGGCTTTGCATACAAACAGGAAGCAATAACAACTGTCAGGTTTTTCAAATTAAATCTTTTAAACTGAAGTGTAAGAGTTGTATGTTGATCACATGGAAGGAGCTGTTCAATCTCATCTGAACGTTGTCATGGAGATGATTTGAGGACACTTCTTACAGTTCAGTCTGAACGTCTTCAAAGTGAGACTGTACGAGCTGGGAATGTTGAAAGTGCCCAACCATCTTTAATTAAAAGCATTTATTTGTATTTAGAAGAACTTCCTTAAAGTTCTGTGTTCTTAGTCAATGTGTAACTCAAAGAGAATGTAATCCCTGTGTCTTTATGTGAAGTCATAAACTATGCTGTCTCATACCTGCTTGGATCCTCATTTAATGGAGGCAAGCCTTCATTTTGTTAATCTGTTAGTGTCTTGATTTATGCTTTTCAAAAGGCCAATTAGCATGTTAGAATGTATTTATTCTTAACATATGTCTGTTTTACTCCAACAATCCTGATGTGTCATTGATCAGGCAAAAGAGGCAGGCAGAGTTTGAGAATTATCTGAAGCGGATGGTGAACCGGTTCAAGAAGGACCAGCTGATAGACACGCACAAGGTGAACACACACTGATTTATGTCATTGTTTACCTTCTCGCTGATTCCTAATCCTGTTTCTCACCACATCAGAATCTTTAAAGCCTGTGATTGGTTCTTTCAGGTCCACCTGATGTGTCTGATAGCCAGTGGGATGTTCCGCAACCGTCTGTGCAGCGAACCGGACCTGCTGGCCATCACTCTGTCGCTTCTGCCCCCTCACTACGCCATGGTCGCCAAGGAGCGAATCGACCAGAACTACCTCTCCGGACTACTCAAGTGGTGTGTGCCTGTGAGATTGAAGCTCAAGCTGTTTTATATGGCACAGTGTGTAATGACAGTCCAGTGTTTCCCCTACCATTATATTAGGGGGGCACCCCTTGAAGGTCAAGTTAATAAAACAAAAAAAAACAAAAAAACTTTTTTTTTAATTTATTTTTGGGCTTTTTGTGCCTTTATTGTAGAGATATGATAGTGGATAGAGTCGGAAATCAGGGAAATAAGTAATTTAAGGATACCTTTCCGATAGAAAAGGACATCTGTCATTAAAAGTAACTCATGAACACCAAAATTCCTAAAAGTGTTTGTGTCGTCGTCCGTCTGCCTGCACCCCCCCCCACCCCACCCCCCAAAGCTTTAAACCTAGGGGAAACATTGCAGTCTGATAACAAACTACAAGTCTAATAATAACCCCTAAATCTTCTTTATCCATCTTCTTCTCTCCCTCGCTCCTCACTTTTAGGTTCAAAGCTACGTTCACTCTGAACCCCAGTCTTCCCTGTGAGGAGCGTCCTGACCCCTGGGCTCTGCTGGGGAGGCGGCTAGCCAGTCTGTCAGCCAAAAACCACCAGGAGATGACTCATGTTGGTATTTTTCTGCCAGGCTGGTTCATTGAAAGATATGTGCAGCCTCTCAGTGACATAACAAAGGTGAAATTGGACAGATATGTAATAATGGTCTGTTTGTGTTGTGTTTCCTGCAGCTGTTCCTGCTGGTCCTGAGGTCTCTGCAGCTCTTCTGCCGATTGGTTCTTTCTCTGCAGCCGATTCCTCTCAAAGCCCCATCAGCCAAGGTACTTTAACAAAGTCCAGAGTACAGAAATTGTGCTTAGTCAAGAGATTGCAGTGAAGAGTTCAGGGAGTACTTCCTTTCACCCATCTACTCATCATTTAGTATTAGTGGTTTCATACCTTACACAACAGCTTGAGTCTCTGGTTTAACTTTGATCACCTAAATAACACATCTGGCTGACTCTGAAATGAAAGCTCTTTCAATTTTCTAAAGCAAAGAGATACATTATGGATGTAAGGTAACTTAAAGCTGGGCTAACTAGTTATTATTTTGTCCAAAAAAGATAGCACTCCAACATAGCATGTTTCCTCAATGTCTGATGAGGGAGGTCATTTTATCATTTAATTCAGCAGATATCTAATATATTGGTCCTCTAACAGAATAAACATTACTCTGTTAATTATTTTAACCCTTTATTCATTACTTTGTTTACTGTTTCAACCCAGCATCCATCTATTGTTCAACTACCTGTTTTTGCTTATAGATAAAGATAAATACATTTATTTGACAAAATTTAAACACATACATAACAGGCTGATCATATCAGACTCCATATAAGAAAAATAAATTGTCAAGGATTAAAATACACAAAAAAGAGGGCTTATTTTCATTGTGGTATCAAAGATCAATCACACAACATAAGCTTGTATTTATGTTTTCAGCATCTTCTGTTCTCATGTTAGTGTTCTTAATATTTCTCTCTCCAGAGCAAAGGGGATAAATCGCCTGCTAGTGCCCCAGGAAAAAGTGCAAAGAACACAGGCAAGGGGACCTCCAAGGCCAGCCCCTCCGAGTCAAAGGTATCTACAGGCACCAAGAGACGAGCAGGTGGCGGTAAGACCAAAGAAGACAGAGGGGGAAAGAAAGCTAAGACGAATAGAATAAAGGAGGAGGATGAGGAAAAGGCCATCGTGTCAGCAGGGCAGAGGCCAAAGAACTCCAAGCGTCGCAGCATCGCCTCAAAAGTCAGCTACAAGGAGGAAAGCAACAGTGAAGAGGAGAAGGAGGAGGGGGGGCTTAGTGATGAGGAATTCCAGGCATCAAGTGAGGAGGACAGTGCAGAGTCAGAGAGTGGAGCTAAATCGACAAAGATTGGGAAAAGAAATGTGTCCAACAGCAAGAATACTCCAGCTTCTAAGAAAAAGAGTGGTGGAGGGATTAACCAGGTAAAGGAAGAGGACAGGAAGTGGGAGAATGAGGAGGAAGATGAAGAAGAAATAAAGAGCAACACAACAAAGCGAAGGAGTGGGAAAAAGAAGGAGGGGCCTGGAGCGGACGAGTGGTTGGAGGTTTTTCTGGACAAAACGTCCTCCTGGGTCTGCGTGGACGTGGAGCACGGTGTCGGGATGCCTCAACTCTGCTCCCAGAATGCAACAGCGCCTGTGACGTACGTGGTGTCAGTGGACAACAACGGGTTTGTAAAGGACCTGGGAAGGAAGTACGATCCCACCTGGATGACATCGACCAGAAAGAGGCGGGTGGATGAAGAGTGGTGGGAGCAAACACTGGAGCCCTTTGTGGGACCTGAGGACGAGAGGGACAGAAAGGAGGAGAAGGAGGTGAGACAGGAAGACAGACATGTAGGCATATATGATGAGACAGGCGAGATCGAAGATTTATTTTTTATCTCGTTAAGTACAGCTTGCAACACAAGAGCTCAAGCATGCACAAACATATTTGATACTATATATTTTTTCAGTAGTACATTATATTCTCTTACTCAGATAGATCTGATGACTTTTTACACATCTTCAATTTGCAGCAACATATTTTTCATGAATTTATTTGAATTTTGAATGTCGTATTAAGGGTTTTATTTGTGAATGCTTTCCTTTGCCTCATTGTGTCCCAACCCCCTCTCTTCCAGAGGGAAATGTCAGAGAATTATTTCATTATTTCAGAAACTTGTCCACTGGGTAATTTACAGATTTAGTGATTTACAAAATTTGAACGAGATGAAAATCATTTTGTCCCACACATGCAAAAAAAGGACAACTTGAAGAAACAATAAAACCAAAAGATTAGGTAGCATAAACAAAGAATGACTGTTGTTCTGTATTTGTTCTACAGTAAAGGACACTAGTAACATGTTGTGTTTTTTTTTACAATATACAGAACTAGCACTTTTTGTCATGTGAAAAGCTAGAACTATAAACTTTCCTCAACACAGAAGATGACAAAATAAATCTGATAAATAACGTTGGGCGACATTTCTTTAGTGAAGCTCCTTTTATATGTGAGTTTCAGGCCACACACCAAAGCCATCCGCAGCTCATTACTGTATGGTTCAATTTATTCCTAATCACCCCAAATCACTAAATATGCTGTGCAACGATTGTATTGTATTGTATTAGCATAGAGTTCTAGACAGATGGTTCCATCAATACACCTGTCTGTTTCATCGACTGATGAGCATATCTCCTAAATGTCCCTCTTGATGTCCACCCAGCTTCAGAACAGGCTGCTGAACAGACCTCTGCCCATCTCAGTCGGAGAGTACAAGAACCACCCGCTGTACGCCTTACAGAGACACCTGCTGAAATATGAAGCTATCTACCCGTCATCAGCTACTGTGCTGGGATACTGCAGGGGAGAGCCCGTGTACTCCAGGTCAGTAATATACCATTAAACTTGGATCCATTTGAAATAAGTTTGTCTCCATATGCATTGCATTGGCTGAGTAGAGTCTGTGATGCTGATCTGTAACAGTCAAGCATCCTTTCTCTTGGCTCTAGTGACGTAAGTTTCTGTGCTGCTATTCAGGTGCTGGATCCTCCTGAGTCAGCATTACTAGATCAAATACAAAGTCAAATATAAATGCAATTATTTTACTTATTTCTAAGGCTTCACCAGAGCAGTCACTCATTGTGATAACATGTAACATGACATCCTAGTATCTTCTGGTGAACTGCATGTAACCCACATATGCATCATTTTATTTTTAAAGGGGACATATTATGAAAATCCACCTTTACAGTGTTTTGAACATATATTTGGGTAACCTGAGTGTCTACTGGCCCACAAAATGTGAAATGAACCCATCCAGTCCTTTGTTTGTGGTCTGTATAAGTCTTACAACACAGAGAAAAATGCTCCGTTTCAAATTTTCTCTCCTTGTGACATCACAGTGTGATTCTGGTAAAATAAAAACATCTCCACTCATGGACTCCACCCCCAGCCTAGAACAAAACTTTTGTGCAGGTCTGCTATTTTCATTCTTGCTACAGAGGACTGATGTCTACCTGGAAAACTCAGGGGGGGGTCATTGCATTTAAAGAGACACACACACCAAAACGGAGCGTTCTGAGAGAGCTGCTTTATACAGGGTCACAAACCTCCTCTGGTGCTTGATTCATGTTATATTTTGACCAAAGCACAGAACAGATGTTTCATTTAGACCACAGGGGGACTGTTTGAAAAGGTGGAGAAGGGGGTATAATATTTCCTCTTTAAATACTAATTTGTGTACAGAACTGGTATTGGAACACAGCCGTTGCCACTGTTCACTCACAGGTCTGAATTAGCTTTGCCTGTATGCATCAGTGTCCACCTGGTGGTGCTATTTGATCACTTAAACTGTCATGTCCCTCTAGCCTTTGTGTTCAACTTCAAAACGTGAATCTCCAAAGACACATTTTAAATGTCAGTATGATGAATTAAAGTATTTCTTGATATTCTTCTTATGTGTAAATGTTGTTTACTTTAAAGGGATTGTGTGCACACGCTCCACTCCAAAGACACGTGGCTGAAAGAAGCTCGGACGGTCAGACTCGGAGAAGAGCCGTTCAAGGTGGGGAGTTCTTCTTTTTTTTCTCTCTCTTCCTTATCCATTATTTCTCTTCTTTGAGTATGTTCAAGTGTTTGTGTGTTGTTTTCCTCTCCGATCAAACCCACTCTATACTCGACTCTAAACCAGTTTAACAGCCATCACATGAGTCATGACGGATGTTCATAAAAATGAGGAACAACATCAGAAACGGTTAACCTCAATATGAGAGCTTGGTCACAGTCCAATGTTTCAGATGTCAATCAACACGCCACAGATGTTGTCATGTGGTAACAACAGAGTGAACCTCCTTTCTTCCATTAAGGATCTTTTGTAACATTAAACTGTTAAAGGTCATATCATCAGCTGTGTGATCTGTTGGCTGTTGTATTGAGAGGTCTATGTAGCGATGTTTACCTCACTGTGTAGCATTTTACTCCGTTTTAGGAAGAAACATGTTTTCATTTTTTTTGTTGCTTTGTGGTCACAGCTACAGGCCTTAATGAAGGATCAACCTGGGGTGACAGTGTCATAGTGGTTGGTTTGTGCGGAGGCTGCGGTCCTCCATGTAAACGACCAGGGTTCGGGTCCGGTTTGTTGCGCCTTCCCCGAGTGTCGTTCCCCACTTTCTCTCTCTCCCTGAATTCCATCTCTATCCACTGTCCTGTCACTACAAAAAAGGTATAAAAAGGCCAAAAAATAAATATTAACATGTTGGAGCAACGCAGAGATAACTGTAGTATTAGCCTCATTTTAATCAAATGAATTATTAATAGCAGGTAGGGATGTAACGAATCACTCAACTCTTGATACGATTCATGATACTGGGTACGATTTATTTTACAAAGTGAGACTGAAGACAAGTATGAGAGGACTGGGAAAGATTCCTTTCATTTTTTTATGTAAACACCAATGCACCTCGTAGTCTCTTTGGCTCTCACACGTTTGGGCGAGCGGGGCTGCAAACCCGCTTGTCAGTAGGGATTGGCCTTGGTGTGGATTAAATGTTGCATCATGTTGTTTGTTCTATTTATGTAGTTCCCCGTCTTCTTGACATATTTGCACACAGTTTTTGTCTTGTCTGTTATCTTCTCACCTCTTTCATTTTCTGTCTTGGTGAAGCTAAAATGTTTCCACATCTCCAATCTCCTCAATTTCAAAATCTTGCTCTGCAGCTGCCAACCGCCTCTGCTCTACAGCTGTTGATGCTCACGATATTATTGAGATTCATTTTTCAGATTACCAATGTGAATCTTGACTTCTTTGAATCGATTTTTAACTGTGCTACTGTGAACTTAGGTCGTCAATGTTTTCAATACTTTTTAATACCACGTGTTTTAGAATGATAGGATCTGTGATTTGAATCAGCGGTTCCCAAACTCTGCCATGCCACGACCCCCATATATCATATTGACCTCCTCAGGCGGGGACCCCCCACTTGCAACATTTTTTAACTTCCTTGAACACATTTGGTCACTTCTATTCTTACTTCATGTATTAAAGTCATACTTTATGTGTGCATGTCATAATGACACCCTTTAGACTCCAGAGTGGCCTTCTGTGGTTGTGACTCTTTTGCAGCTCAGTCATGTTTCCCGCTGGCCTTATCTTTATAGGCATGTTTCTGAGAACTAGGCGGCAGGCAGATTCACTGATATATCAGTGTCACTAAGAGCAGCGGATGTAGTGTTGTGTGTTACTCTTTTTTATCTTGAAAAATTGTCACACAAAAGAACATATATTCATGAATAAATTGATTAATAACTTCTAATAAGACACATTACTATTTTATTGTCACAAATAATGTGATAGTTTTTTATTCTTGTTCCATTTTACTCCCTCTCCCTCCAAGTCTTTGGGACCCCCTGGCAACCTCCCAGGTGGACCTTGATCCCCCCACTTTGAAAAACACTGATTTGAATGATGGAAAGTATCATCATTACATTTAGGATCTAGTATTTATACTGTGTTTACCGATGTTAGGCATCTACAAGCTTGCTCCAACAGTATTGTGTTGTACTTGTACAGTGACAATAAAGATATCTTATCTTATGAAAGAATTACTGTAGCTTTAAAAAAAAAAACGACATGCCTGAAGCTATAATTTTAGGCCAAAGCTGCAGCAAGAGAGGGACAGAACACGCTGTTTAAATGGCACAAATACATTAACAATGCTACATTACCGATGGACTGCCAATGTTTTTGAGCAATTTAGACAGCGTGAAGGAGTTTGCTTTTGCCCCTTTTTTTTTTCTTGACTTGTGTAAATCAGTGAACTTCTAGTGATGAAAGATACAACCGAAAACTCAAAGTATTTGGTCTTTTTCGTTTCTCTGATTTTTTTGGGAAATTTTCAAAATCCAAAACAAAAAACACCAACCATAATTTACATTTTTAGACACTTCAAATCCAACAACAAATGACCCAATATCGGGTGCCTATAACTTCTATTTTTGCTGCAATGGTATCAAAACAGTGTTTAAAATAATGGTATTGTGACTACCATACAGTGACTGCGTGTAACAGTGTTTTACACTCAAACAAATACCCAGTCAGTCATATTGGTATTCTCATTTTTATACACACTTACACTGACTTGGTTGATGCTTCAGCTCATTGGTCCAGACTAATCTGTAATGACACAGTAGTGTAGTCGCTGTTCAGCCACAACTTAGACTGAAACAGGAGTCTCTGTGTTTAGTTCTATTTTCTAATCAGCATAAATAAGAAGACCTTGTGTATGACAATGCCACTGTGTAAATGTCCGTCAGATGGTGAGGGGCTTCTCCAATCGTTCCCGTAAGGCCAGGATGGCGTCTGAGCTGAAGGAAGAAAAAGACCTGCCTCTGTTTGGAGAGTGGCAGACTGAAGACTACCAGCCGCCTCTCGCTGTGGACGGGAAGGTAAAAGAAGGGGTCACTGTAGTAGCACATATAAGGTTACAGCAGAGCAACAAAGCATTGTTTCAATAGAAAATATGAAGTCAGATGTTATTTTTTTAATGGAGAAATCAGAGGTTTAAAACAATGACATAAAAATGCACACCCAAGCTCCAGTTTCTGTAATAGTGTTGTTTCCTGATTGTCCGTGTCTGTTGTTTTCAGGTTCCCCGTAACGACTACGGTAACGTCTACCTGTTTAAGCCCTGTATGTTACCGGTGGGCTGTGTTCACGTGAGGCTCAACAATCTGCACCGCGTGGCCAGGAAGCTGGACATGGACGCCGCCCCTGCGGTCACAGGCTTTGACTTCCATGGAGGATACTCGCACGCTGTGTAAGACAACACTGAGAAGCTCCCGCTGAGACAGAAGTTAAACACAAAGGAAGCAGGAGGAGTGGGATCAGCACTGTTTATTTAGTCACACTCCAGCTTCAGGGTTTAACAACTGCACTGCATTCACTTTGTTTGAGTCATTTTATTTCTTCATCTAGTTCATTTTTTTTCCATTAGGGATATTTCCCAACCCCTAGCATGACACAGAACAACATCTGCTGTACATCCTTTAGTTTATAGCAAAGATAAGGAAGAGGTTGAGTCATGAGCTGTGAAAATGAATCAGTCTCCATTGCTTTTCTCTGCATTCACTCCCATTCTTAAACCCTTATCTGCCTTAACAATCCCATATGTGCTGTGTAAGAAGGAGGATTGTTGTGTATGGCTTTTATTGCTGTTCTAATCTTTTTATCAAAGCAAGATCCTCTGCTATCTAAGTATTGCTATATTGGTCCAAATTAACAGGTTTCATGTCATTAGTGAGCTTTGATCCACACATTTAGTAAAACAATAGCTGCTGTATGAGCAGCTTTTAATTCTGTTGTGTTCTCAGCCTTCCCCTTATTTAATTACATAACATGTTTTCTCTAATTACAAACATTTGCATAGTAGTAAGCATAGTTGCCTAGTGTTGAGATTTTGAATATCTAACATCCTTAATTTAAGTCTTTACAATGGGATATCTACTCACAGAGGGTCAATTACTGACTAACATGGTGACAAAAGAGCTTTAAATAATGACAGCTGTTATGAAAGCATGCTAATCGTATGTGAACATGTTTTCTGTGTGTTTCAGGACTGATGGTTACATTGTGTGTGAGGAGCATGAGGAGATTCTCAGAGCGGCCTGGGAAGAAGATCAAGAGCTTCAGAAACAGAAGGAGAAAGAGGTGTGTGTGTGTTTTGCACTTTGGTTAAGAGCTAGCTCACTTTCAAGTTAAAGCCAAAACTCGTACTTAAAAAATCCTGTGTTAAAACCAAAATACAGCATTACCATTTATTTTTTTCAAATTTCCAGAAGAGAGAAAAGAGGGCAACGTCCAACTGGACTCTGCTGGTGAAAGGGCTCCAGATCAGAGAGAGGCTCAAGCAGCGCTACGGTAAAAAGAACCAGGGCCTGGCGTGCCTTGCTCAGGGAGAGGAGACGGGTGGGCTATCATCTGATGAGGAGGATGCGGCTGAAGATGGAAGTCCAGGAGCTAAGACTGCTTCAGAGACACTGGCCATGTCCTGGCCTCAGAACAGACAAGCAGAGGAGGACGGAGGGAGCATCAGTGGACTGAAGAAGAAGACGACAACAAAACGAGAAAAGAGAGGACAGGAGAAGCACATGTTCCCCTTTGAGAAAGTGTGATTTCAGAATTTCAAAACTACACCTCAGATTGGTTGATATGATCCAATATAGCAGACCTTTTGCTTTAACAGTATAAAGCAGGCCTTGGAGAGAGACGATGAACAAAAGGAATATTTTGTATTTTGTAGTTTTCTGCAGATTGATCTATTTCCTCCAGTGCTGATCATTCATGAACTCAACTCTCCTCAATTTCCTCATCACTGTACATATTACCACTAGCTCTATGCTGTGTTGTTAGTTGTTCTTGTATGGTAGCTGAATGGAATTTAAGTACACATGCCGAGACATTGGGGTAAAACCTGCAAAACATAACAAATCAGTGTTATCATTGTGTAAGACTCTCAGCCCTCATGCAAGTATTCATGTGCTTAAACATTTTCAACACAGACTTGAATTAATGGCTAGTAGTGTGGCGAGTATAATGTGTTTATAACCTGAGTCTAAAAAACACTACAAACACTGGCTGATGAACATTTTCTATTTAGGTTGAAGTTGCTGAAAACTCTCAGAAGCTGTACTACCTCACCTACCTGCTTCTGTTGAGTTTCATCATCTCCACTGAGGCGAGTGTCCAAAATCTCCCTCCACTTTCTAAAAGTGGTTTAACGGAGCTCTACTAATGCTGCTGGCTCAAATGTTTGGCATGAAACCCGACAATGAAAACATTCACTTGTTTGTTGTGTTCAAGTGACCTCGTGTTGCCCTTCTCTTGAGGTTGAAAAATGGAAGGATCATCGAAACTGTTAAATGATTTCTTATCCATCTCTCACTCCGTCTCTTCTCACAAACACTGTACTTCCCCCTTTTCCTTGTTAGGCTGCTAAATCCCCGGAGAGTTTCTGTGTTTCTGTGTTTCACATTCAGGCACTTGATCTCACACTCATCTCTTTCCACACTTTCGTCACTCTTTCACACCTTGTGTATGTAAGTGTCTTCCCACGCAGCAGACGATGGCTGCATTTAAAATAGGAAATCAGTTTTTGTACAGAAAAAGTATTTTTGCAAGAAATGTTTAAATATCAGTAAAAAAAGTCAAACAACCAGTATAAATGTTTTTATACCCTATTTGTGTTTGTGTTTGTATAACAAAAACTATTTTACAATCATTAAAAATAGAATGAAATTCTTCCACAAATAAAGAAAATGTCCAGGTTTCAAAATCAGCTACCACACAGTTAAGTACAAATGATTAAATATTCACCACGGCTATCATTCTGTTGTTTTTACATTTCCTTCCTCATTTGATCATGCGGGTACATTTTTACTTGTGCTAAACTGGCTCCATCCAGACAGAGATTACCAGGAGTTCAGTGTCCAACGATTGATTCAAGGATACACATAAATATCTTATGTAAGTTTTCTAAATGTCGCTTTCATCTGGTGGGGTAACCCTATGGGTTAACCAAATGTCAGTGGCATTAAATGCTGATGCATCTTCTTTCTGGGCAACCCAAGGCCAAATATCAGAGCATTAACCTCAGGGGCACAACCCTCTGCCTCTCTCATGCACCACTGAGAGTCACAGCAGAGGGTAATGCATTGTTTATAAAGGCATACCTCTAATGCCTTCAGAACCTAAGTACTTTGAGTGCAATGTTTCCAGCCAGTTATATTCCAACCAGTGCAACTTATAGGAACAGAAAGGAACGTCAAATGGTTGCTGAAAAAAGTTAACATAATAAACCAACATTAGAGGTTATTGCAGTGTATGTGGCTAAATAGCTATAAATAGAACTAAAGCGTTGCCACTAAATGTGTGTATTAAAGGAATTTGAGTATCTTGTTGAAGGTTAATGTGAAAAACAATTCAGATTTACACAATAATGAAACATTTTGGAATGATTTGAGGACACAATTTCAGGCAAGGGTTGGCAAACCATATCCACTGTTTGTATGTGATCTGTGTGAACTGAACACAGATGTAAGAATTGCTATAGAGTCTTGAAAAAACTGGACAGCCCCCTAACTATCAAAAGATAAATCCTGGTTTTTGTAAGATGAAACATATATTCAGTGAAACCTCCTAATGCCGTCCGGATTATGGATGGCTATGTGCAAAAGGTGGACAGTGGTTGCTGCATCTTTTAATGCTGCTGATGCATTAATGGATAATACAAATGCATAAAAGTTAAGCTGCAGCATCTCCTCTGGGAGAGAGAAGTCGAGCTTGAAAACGCGGAAGTGACGTAATTGATAAGTACCTCTGTACCCGTCTATCTTCCGCCTACCAGCCGAGCGAGCAGAGAGTAAATCGCTCTTTGGGTTTCCCCACACAAAAACCACTTCTGGCTTTCAACGCTGACAAAGCCGACGCTGATCTCAGAGGTAAATATTACTGACTCCGACCTGAGGTAATCCATGCAGCGGCTGTTCAAATGAGCCTGTTTACTCCAGAGCTCCAGAGGGCCTTGTTTACATCTCGATCCCCGCTCTGGAGTAGGTAAGACGCGGAGGCACAGCGGGAGGGGACGGTAAGGGGATGGCTAAATTGGCTAGTTTTTATCGTATAAATTGATGTTTGTTTAATCTCTTATGGGGAACGTTTGCATGTATTTTGTAAAAGCAGACCAGCATTTATCTCTGAGAACTCGTAAATTTATCATGTCGTTCCTTTTCTGCCAAATACTACTGCCAGCATGCTAGTCAGGGAGCTAATCCGGCTAACAGTAAGTTAGCTAGCCGTTCTGTGGACTTGACTTCACTGCATTTTTTTTGTTTGTTTAGTTTCTTGGAGAAATTGGAAGAAATCTCCGATGCTTAGAAATGACCAATCCGCTATTTCTTCAGTTAGTCTCTACATAAACTATTGCTTCCCATCCCCCCAATACGTGTTATCAAACCTGTGCTGAGTCGCTGTGATACGCAAGATGTGTGTCACCCAGTTTCATGCCTATTTTTAGTCCGGACCGGACCGGGAGGAATGCGTCTGTCGCCTCATGGAGGGCAAACCTTGTTTTTTTTGTCCAGGTGGATATTTGCAAAGTCACATTTGTAGATCGATGCCAACAAACGGATTTGATGTGGTGTCTGTTGACCGAGGTGGACGCACATCACACGTCGTTATAAGCCTGACGACACTGTGGTGTCGACATGTATCATTCACACTCCAGTCCTTTCCGTTAGACGTTGTGATGTTCGTCTCTTCTCTAATGTAATAGGAGATACGATTTGGCAAAGAAAAACTCAAGCTTGCATCCACACCAATACAACTATATGGACAATGGGGAAACAACATGTTTAATTGTTTATCAGGGGAACTCAGTTTGCTGCACAGCAGTGAGAGGGACGGAACTGACAATTCACACAGCAAAATTTATATGCAGGAATTTTTTATTTTTTTCATTTTACAGGGACATAGCATATTGATAAACATTTTTGTAAATATGCCAGAGTTAGCCAAAAGGCTAATTTTCATCTGTTGTCCCTGGCCAGATTTTATAAAAGGCTCCCTAATTCAAACATTGCTAAAAGCTACAAAAACAAGTATTAGTAAAAGCACGTATCCAATAACCTACTAAAGTAAATGTAACATGCACACAACATGTAACACTATATACAATAAAGACGTACAAATTACACAAGGCCACATATCAAACATTGAGTGAGCTGTACCTGAAGCTCACCTCAACAGACAACTAACACACGCAGGCCACAGTCATTTAAAAAACAGGACACATTCACCAACAACAATTAGTTTGGTCTGTTAAAGAGTTTGGGAATGATGATGTTAAAATAATGTGTGACATGTATACTATTATATACAATAATTCTGTCATGTTGTAGTTTGAGAAATCTGAATCAAAATGAATTATTTGAAAATGTAAATGATTACAATTGTAGACACAAATTTAAACCTTTTGAAAACCACGTGATGTCGTATTTCTTATCCAGTTATGCACTTTTTTTTTTTTTTTTTACTGCTGCTATTTCAACTGAAACAGGGTTCCTGTTTGTTTTTTCGCCTCCTTTTGTGTTGAGCATTACTATCCAGTTTGCACTTTGCACCCAAGTAAACTTCTGTTATGGTTTGCCTGTTCTCTCATCCCCAAAGCTAAAGCATCTTCAGCTAATCCTCTAAACCGTGACATTAAGCCTTAACCCATGCCTTGTGTCCACACACGTGTTTAACAGATCCAAACTGTCGCAGGATAAACATAATATAATACACGAGCAAGAGTTGTTACTTGAGAAAAGAGTAATCCTTTGGAGGAAAGTGAGGACAAGGATTTTTAATTGTTCCTTGCACAGAAAAGCAGACTGTCAAATGTTAAGTAGGATAGGTGAGGCCTTGCAGGCGGGGAGGGAGGGAGGGAGGGAGGGAGGGACCTTGTACCTAATTCAGTCACAGTCCATGGCCATTAGATCATTGGCGAGCTTGTCTTCAAGCCAGCAATGGAAATTAACCGTTTGTCAACAGGCCTCAAAGTCAGCAGCCACTTTCACTGTTAGGGGTAGATTCCAGCTTGGTTTTGGGAGTATGACATAATCTGTCAGGAAAGGTCAGCTGCTAAGTAGAAAAGGCAGACAAAACCAGCACTGCCAAATGTTTAGCAACAGCTGTCTGGTTGCTTGTGTAACCCGGCTATTATGCAAAGAAATTATGTTTTGAGTGAGACAAAGTCAAACAAATTTCCTCAAGACATTGTCGTGTGGTGTCTGAGTCGGCCGGTTTCTTAATCAGTGCACAGATATTATTCATGAACAGTTTCAGGCACTCCACACTAATGAGAGGCTCATGCTATTAAAAAAAAAAAAAAAAAACTACACCATCTTAAGTTCCTCATATATTTTGTATGCTGACCTTTGCAGCCTTTGGTGTGCATGTGTGCGGAGAAAGTGTCCTTCACTGAGCAGATCCCATTAACGCTTGCAGCCCAGTGGAGATGATGCAAAAGGTTGCTGAACTTCTTGTCAGTAAGACTCTCCCTTTCAGAGTTGGTGATGTTTTTGGTTAGATTTCTATACTGCAGGGTTTTCACAAATACACTCCTTACTTACTGAGGGTTTAGAATACGCAGCGTTTGAGGATAACTGGATGAAAAAAATCAGGATTGATTTATAACATTATACTTTTACATCATTTTTATCTTTTTAAAAAATACAGTAAATACCACATAGACAAAGAATGTTTTTTATTTAGCATTTTCTGTTACCTAAGCCTATATTTTTTTTCTCTTTTCTTTTTCTTGTATTGGCGCTAGATTTGCTCATGTCATTACCCTCTATTGACACCTTTCTATCACTAGTATTCAATGACAATGATAAGTAATCAAATTGATGAATAAAAACCCTGACAGTTTGTCATAACAAATTAAATGAAACATTTTATTGGTACTCTCCAGTAAAGCCAAAATACTTTGAAATAGAGCAGATAGCCTAGTGGTAAGTGCGTGTGCACCTCTGCTATAGTCCTCCAAGCTGGCAGCCTGGGCTTAAATCCGACTTGTGGCTCCTTTCTCGCATGTCACTAGATTTCCGTCTCTACCCACTGTCCTATCTTTAAAATAAACCTCAATAAATAGCCAAGAGATTTACTAGTAATGTCACTTTTTTTGCTGATAGCATATTATTGGACGCATGGCTGAGTCATCTGTGTGTAAGAAGCATGTCTCTCAGTATCACAGTGTAAGCCTGAATTCCCTCTAGCCGGGATTAATAAAGTACATTAAAAAATGTGTTTTTAAACTGAGGCATGTGATTAATAAATCAAAAGAAAGTTTCTCTCATGTTAGCATTTGCTGCTCTGCTTTGGCCTTTACTTTTTTGGTGTTAATTTCAGAATTACTTGTCATACTTGCAATATTTTAGAAAATTCTGTGAAATTGACATTGAATACTGAGAAGTTGGATTTGCAGATAAGGAAGTTGACTGAGGGAAACTTGACTCAACCAGATGAGCACATTACATGATAATTACAAGTTATTGAGCAGGAAATGTTGACAACTTTGATAACTTATACATTTTTTAAATGCTCTTTCTCTTCCTTTGTCCCTTTTTGGCCTCTTTATTCCCCATCCCCTTCCTCTCTCCCCCTTCCGTTCCTCTCCTTTTCATCAGTCTTCTCC